CGGGCTGTCCAGGCCCGGAGGCCCCAAGGCAGGGAGAGAGAGAAAGCCATGTTAGTCAGAGTTCATCAGCACCACCACCATCACCACCACCACCGCCACGACCACCGACCACCGACCACCGCCAGAGCAGCCAGGGCAGCAGCACACAGCAGGGAGGAGGAAGCGGGCCACACTGAGAGGGAGGGACCAAAAACGGGCAACCCCATCCTGACTGCACAGAGGGGGCTGGGGGCCACGGGGACCAGCTGGGGGCCGGGTGTGGCCGCGGAGGGGGTGCTCCTGGTGGCTAGCCCTGGGGGAGGGGATGGGGAGGGGCAGGCAGGCCAGGGGGGTCAGGAGGGGTTGCTCGTCTCCATGGTCAGCCTGCCCATGGGGTGCGCGGGTGGGGAGGGGGCAGGAGCAGAAGTGAGGGGCCGGGTGGGATGGGGGGAAGGAGGGCGTGCGCGGATACTCGGATACTCGGTACATATGATCAAACCAGGTAAAGTCACTCACTTGAGGGACAGTCGTGGGTCGCCATAAGGGGCGTAGGGTGAAATGTTTAGAATAAACTCCTTGGGAGGGTAGGAGCTCCATTTCTGCTGCACTGTGCTCTCATTGTTATTCCAAAAGTCTCTGTCTAGATCACTGGAGGGGCAGAGAGAGAGGGGAGAAAACAGGGAGATCCAAGAAGAAACAAGAACTGCAAGTCCTGTGCGGCGGGCAGAGGGGCCGGGCCCGGCGCACGGAGGGTGGGGTGGGCTGGGGTCGGCTCCTGTGAGGGGAAGAGAGGCAGGTGGCACACGCACGGGCGCACGCGCACACACACACCCGCACACGCTCCAGGGCGGGAGAAGCCGCGTGCAAGGAGGCGAGCTGCAGGCAGGCAGACTGGAGCCTCGCACCGGGAAGCTGGTGGGAGAGAGAAAGATGGTGAGAGAGGAGGGGAGGGGGAGGGGAGGGGGAGGGGGGGCCGGGGACACGGCCTGGGCTGGCGATGGCGTGGGGAGTGGGCTGAGGACAGGGTGCTGGCTTCTGGCTGGAGATTGCTGAAAGGTAGATCAGACCCTGCTGCCCACGTGCTGGGCCTCAGTCTCCCTGCCTGTCGAACCCGAAGGCTGGCTGTAACCGCTGAGCCATCCGCTCTCCCATGCCGGGGTTGAGGCCCCAGTTCTGGAAGACCGGAAGTTCTCCCCCCTTCCAGCTACCTAACGGAGCCACTCTTGGGACAGGCCCAGCTCCCTGCCAGTCTCTCCTACTCCCACTGGCCTGAGGTCCCCCTGGCCTCCTCTGTTCTCTCCCAGCCTCGGGAAAGCCTGGGATGCAGCCTTCACAGGAGACCGGCCAGATCTCAGCTGAACGGAAGGCATTCTCTGCTCATTGCAAAAGTGGTGGCTGGGTCACCCCAGCAAAGGGAAGCGTCTCCAGGCCCTCTGACCTGGTGGTCGTCTGCAGGTCACGGGGTGGGGGGGGCTCTTCACGTGGAGGCCTGGGCCTGTGCCGAGGAAGCCTGCCCTTCTCTGGGGGGACTGATGGGCAGACTCAGCCTCCAGTCCTTGGTATGTACCTGGCCTGCCCCTGTCCTTTTCCAAACTGGAGCTGCTGGGTCTGGCAGGGAACGTGTACCCCAGTCTCCCCATGCCCTCCTGTTCTGTGACATGTGCTACCGAAGAAGCAGATATGCTAGAAGCACAGAGAAGGCGGGGACCTCCCCTGGAGGAGGGCGACAGAAGCCTCAGCAGAAGACGTGGCCTGGAAACCCCAGGAGGACCAGGGGCTTCACCAGCTCGTCAGCCTCCTGGGGCCCCGAAGAGCAGACCTGGGAGCACAGGGAAAGCAGGGCAACTCCCAGGCCAAAGGAACATTCCGGAAAGGAGCCACGCCTGAGCCCTCAGGAGTGCGTGTACGGGAAGGGGCTCGGGAGAAGAGTCAGGGGTGGGCCTGGCGTGTGCTGAGGCCACGCCACTGCTCAAGGCCGAGGCGAGAGCCCTGCCGGGGCGAGGGCGCTGCTGGGAGGCACGCCCCCTGAGGATGGAGGAAGCGCGTTCTTGGGGCACCTGCTTCTGCCACACACCACCTCCAGAGCTCGACCTCAACCTTGGTTCTCAGCCTTAGACTCGGGAACAAAGGAGAGAAAGAGGGAGAGAAGCTGAGCTGTCCCCACAGGCCAGGAGGAGACAGTGGCCCTGGGCTGAGAGTGGGCAGGGCCCCCTTGGGCCTCCCTGGTGTGGTCAGTCTCTGCCAGTCCAGAGAGCACCTCGGAAACATCTCACAGGAGACTCTGTGCACAGGGTCCAAGGCCAAAGCCCTGAGCCAGCTCACAGGGGCAGTGGGTGCCGGAGGTGGGAGAGGCAGAATGGTCCACTGGGATGGAACACTAAGGGGGGGGGGGGTCTCCCTGGGGAGGCTCCCTCCACAGAAGAGCCTATTCCCTATTCCCACCAGAGACATCCTTTGGCCCCCTCCCCTAGTGTAACAGAGAGATGGCCTCTCTCCCCCTGTCCCCTCCAGATCTCCAAAATCGAGGGCCATCCAACCCTAGGTCCTGGAGAGAAAGATCCACCCAGGGTCATCACTGCCAGGCTGGTCTCCCACCCTGTGCTCCAAGGAGCTCCAGGGTCCCTTGGGTTGTGTGCTGCGGTACCAGAAAAGAGGATCTTTAATTAAAGAAGTTTATGAAACACTGATTCCTGTACTGCAGGACTTCTCAGAGCCTTTAACGTGCCAATGAATATCAGTGTTTTCCAAACTTCGTTGGTCATGGAACCCTTGATTCATGGGATCACTATTAATCTTTTATGGGGCACAAGCGCTCTGAGGAACACAGTTTGAGAAACAGTATTAAAGAATGCAGCTTCCCAGAATCCTTGATAACACGATCCTTTTGGAGGAGGTCCTAAGCCCAGGGGCAGACTGTGCAGCAGGTAAACCCTGCTTCCTGCCACTCGACTGGCTTTGGGCCCAGGGAAGAGGCAAAGGCCTAGGAACCTGGGGGCATGTAGACAAGAAAGGTGGCTTCCTTCCCCTGGGGCAGAGGGTCTGAGAGCTCAGCAGGGTGGGAGGGGGCAGGGACTGCAGGGCCACAGAGAGGCAGGGGACGACCCACTGTTGCCCTCACTTTGCCTTAGAGAGCCTGCAGAGCCTGCTCCCCGCCCCACTGCCCCCTCTCCGCTTCTCTTGTGGGCCCTTTTTAGGTCTATCTAGTACACACACAGCCTTACCCAGGAAGCTGATGGTCAGCTGGCAGAGACAGGCTCTCTGGCCCAGACCATGGCTGCAAACTCGGTTAGAGGCCTGGCCTGGAGGTGGCAGGTGCCGGGCTGGCCCCGTGCTCCCGCCATGTGGTTCCTCCCCTCTTCAGAAAGCCTGGGGCCTGGGCTCTGCGACAGCCCCTGAGACCTGCCAGCTCTCGGCTTTGAAGACTGGAGAGCATGCAACCAAACCCAGCTTCAAAGGCTCCCCGCAGCCTCCTCCGAAGCCCAGCCTCGGCCTGGCCCACCCCTTCACTTACCCGCCCCCCAGCAGACACACACCCACAGCTTCTGCGAAGGCCCCAAACAGGGTCAGAGCAAGAGAAGAAAAAAGAGGAGGGGGGCCGACGAGGGGCAGGGGGGGAGCCCTCAGGAGAAGCGGTGAGGAAGGAGGGAAGTAGGAAGAGAGGAAGATGGACGGGCGAAGGGCAGGAGGGAGGCCTGGGCAGGCGTGGCTGGGGCCTCGAGTTGAAGGAGGCAGGGTGGGGCGGGAAGGGCTGGGGGAGGCCCCGCTTCCAGGCGGAGCCCTTGGCTGGCAGGCTAAGATGGAGGGGCATCCTGCAGCCTCCCCGTGAAGGCTTAGGCCAAGAAGCAGAGAGGAAAGGGCCAGGCCATTGGCCAAAGAGTACAGAGCCCTCTAGGGAGAGCCCCACCCCTACTGCCCTGTTCCCAGAGCCCCCAACCAGGTGAGAACCTTCTCCCAGCATCTCCCAGTGACCCTCAGCAGGGGTCTGCAGGTGGTCTGCAGTGCAAGGCAGACCTGCCGACTTGAAGACGGATCTCAGAGCCAAATTGGGAAACTGGGGTGAGCCAGAGGCAGCAAGATGTGCAGTGGGGACCGGGCGTGACAGGGGAGGGGAGAGTCTCTCCCCGCCGCTCTGCTTTCCCTGCTGGGGTCCCCAGGGTTTTTGTCCGTCCTTCCTCCAGGTTACCCTCAGAACATTGGTGGGGTCTGAGGAAAGAGTCTGAGCCGCCACCACCCACCGCCACAGAGGGGCTCCGCAGCCCCAGGGCTGGGGGAGGAGCTTGGAGGTGCAGGGGAGTTAGGCAGGGCTTGGGGACAGTGTGTGTGTGGCGTGAGGGCTGGAAGGAGGAAGGAGCACCCGGGGTCGAGGGAAGAGGAGGGCAGTGCTGGGAAGGAAGCAGCCAGAACACGGGGCTGGGGGCCCTGGAACACTGTGAGGGTCTGGGAGGCACAGGCAGGAAAGGCAGAGCCCTGGGCCACCCTGAGGTGCTGGGAGTGGGTGTAGGGGACTGGGCTGGGGAGAGAGCAAAGCGCCAGGTTGTGAGGGGGAAACTGAATGTGTGTGTGGCCAGATCTGGGGGGGTGGTCCTCCCACTTGGGCTGCCTGCGTGCCCCACCCCAAACTCAAAGCCTGGCACCTACTTGATGGCTTTCTTCTCACTGCGCCCACGCCCTGAGTCTGGCGTGCCCACCGTCTCCAAGGAATTCTTGTAGCGTTTGCCCTGTGGAGACAGCACCAGGGTGACTCTTGGGAGACAGGGCTGGACTCTCCCTGCCTCCCCAGAAGGGGGCCCTGCGGGGAGGGGAGTACACTGGAGCCCAGCCTCGGCAACAAGGTCTGGGGCCAACGTGTGAGGGTGTCACCACCTTGGGGTGCCAGCCCTACCAATCCCTGATCCCTGGTAGGCAACTCCTGGGCCCCATCGGGCTCTAGGACTTGGCCCGCCCCCTTGACCTGCACCCCATCCCTGACCCCTAGGGATGAGGTCCCTCCCATCTGCCTGTCTCCTGGGGCTCTGGCTTGGCTCCCAGAAGCATATCTCCCTCTGCCGTGGACAGACGGCTCTCAAGCGCCTGGCCACGTCCCACTGGCCACGTCACTGCCCCCAGATGGTGGGGTGGCATCCTGCAGGGCAAGGTTGGCAGTGGCCAGTGACGTGAGTGGCAGGGGCAGGGAGAGGGCCCGTGCCCAGTCCTGCCGGGGCCATGTCCGTCGCTGTCTGGGGGCTCCCTGGGGTCCCTCCTGCCCTGGGCCCGTGAGGCAGGGCAGGGCCTGAGCACCCTCCTTCACAGGAAGGCAGCCTTGGGAAGCGAGGCTGCCCACTGATAGCACAAGTGGAGGGAGGGGCAGGGCAGGATGAAGGGGTGGGCGTGCCAGGTCCCCTGGCTAGAGGAAGGGCTGGAGCGGTGACAGGGCCTGCGGCCAGGAAGGTGAGCACCGTTCACCTTTTTGGTTTGGGTTTCTAAATTTAGCTCACACAGAGCCCGGCACCATTAACATTCCTGGCTGCCACCAAATGTCCTCACGCACACCCAGGGGCCACGGGCCTGGGCGGGGGAGGGGGGCTGTGCAGGGGCCGGAGCTGTCTCCCACTGGGCACTGGCCTGCCCCTGTCCAACCGAGTGGGGTCGGGGACACACACACATGCACACGCACATGCACACGCACACGCAGGCACACATTTCTCCAACATCCCATCATGTGAGCCAAGACCACAGCCACAACAGTCAATTATTGCATCCTCTCTAAAGCAAAATAAAAGCCGCACAGCCGCATTCCCTGACGCTCCTGCCAGCTGCAGCCCCTTCCGGGGACTGGAGCCGCCTGTTTAGGGAGAACAACAGCGGAGCTCCCAGGAAGGGGGTGGAGGTGGGGGGAGGGCCCTCATGCCACCTCCAGTACCCCTATGTCTCAGGGGTGCCAGGGTCCTGTCCCAGCAGTGCCCCCACACTCTCCATGTCACCCTGCTCACGTCCCTCGCCCTCTCCAGCCCCCCTTTCCCCTCCTGTCTGAGACGGTGTGATGTCACTGGATCAGCCCTGGGTCCCTCACCCTTCAAGCTTCTCATCACAGGTATTAGTATTCTTATTATTACTCTGCTTACCTACTTCAGCTCCCACCCCTGGGAACGTAGTCCCCAGTGGCAGGGACTGTATGGGCTCTGGTACTTGGTGTGGAACCTGGTACCCGGCAGTTCCCCAAATCCATTAACTGGAAGCCCCACCCACCCAGGGGTCTAAGCCTCAGGCCAGTTGCCTCTGAGCCAGAACTTTAAGAGTTAAAAAACAGAGCTCCTGGATCCCCTGGGTCCACAAAAGCTGCCCCCTCTCAGCTCAACTCCAGTCCCTCCCATCACTACCCAGAAGTTCAAATCACAAACAATTCCTAGTTCCAAGTGGGCAGATCAGGAGCCTGGAGCCCCTCTCTGGCGGCCAAGGGCCCTTCTTGGGCAGGACCCTCAGGCAGGAGCCCCGCCCCCCCGTTCTCCAGCAGTTGCGGCAGTGTGGGGCAGGCAGCACCCTGCCGAGAGCCCCCCGTCCCACCCCTCACCCCTTCTCCTCTTTCTTCCTAGTCTTCAGGGAACTGGCTCTGGTCAGCACCCTCTTCGAAGGCTGGTCCGTTGCCCCTTCCCCAAGGCCCGGCACCTGGTTCACCCAAGGCATTCTGGGAGCTTCTGCCTGTCCATCTTCCTTCCACAGCTCAGAGAGGCTCCCCTCCAGCAGCAAGGACCCTTTTGCAGAGGAGCTGGGGCACATGGGGGACAGAAACCAGGGCAGGACTTTCCTTGGGGGTCAGGGGAAGTTAATGGGGCAACGATAGGAACCCCAGGTGGGGTCCAGGAGACATAAAATATCTCCAAAGGAGCCCAATCCCCCAAGCCTGCTTATCAGGGAGGGGGTTGGCCAGGCTGATCCGGAAAAAGCCTGTTGGAGATTAAGGAAGTTATTAATGTTTGGAAATGGGATCTGGGCTGTCGGGTATCACGTCACTGCTGCTGAGGGGACAGGCAGGCAAGGAGAGCCCAGCAACTGTGCAGGGGGAGCATTTTAAAGCCCCTTCCATGGAGCATGGAGACAGCCTGGACAAAAAGCTCCCTGGCTTCTGAGACCAGGGGTTGGAAGCGGGTGGCAGGATTGGGGGGTCCTAGGCGAGGTAACGTTCTATCAGCAGCTCAGAGGGACAAGTCAACGGGGACACACTGCGGTCCGGACCCCTGAGGCCCCTGAGGAAGCTCTGGCTAGAGGCTGGGAGGAGGGGCTGGGCCAGGGGAGGTTCCGCAGCTCTCAGCTTCCCAAGGCAATTACTGCACTGACAGCCCCCCACCTGCTACAAAAGCTGTCATCTCTGAACTCCTGTCTCCAGGTGAGTGGGGGTAGGGCTCTCAACAAACACAGAGAAACACACACACACACACACACACACACACACACACACACACTGCAGCACTTACGTGGGGATCTGATGAGATGATCCACATCCCACCATACAGGGCCAAACACACACACACACACACACACACACACACACACACTGTACCAATGTCCTCAAAGTCGACACCCTTAGCACAAAAGACCCCCACTCAAGGTCACCAGCAGCACCCGTTCATACAACCCTCCCCTGCCTTCAAATACAGACAGACAGACAGCCGAACGGGCCCTGCAAAGAGGCGCACAGGGCTGCAGTGCATGCTCAGCCACTCCCAAGCCTCTGAGGACATTCGCACACACAAGCACGTGGCCAAGCCCCTCCTCCACCTCCCCTGAAATTCTGAGACAGACAGAGAGACAGGAAATCCAGGAACAATGCAGGGCAGCCAGTCTGGCACCTGCACGCAAGGAGTGGGCCCGAGTCACACACACACTCGCACACACTCGCACACACTCGCACGTGGGGCAGGGCTGGCCTTCTCCCTGGCTCCTCTCCAGGGAAAGGAGCTGCCTGAAGCTGAACATCCCGGGGTGAAGAATCACACTCCCATTTCCCGGGTTTGCCTTTCCCGAAGGAAGCACGTTGTGTTATGGGCCTCTTGGGCTCTCCCCAGGAGCATCTGACCCCTTCTCTTCTCTAGGACTAAGGCACTGAGCCCCCGCCTACACAGCACCCATGGCCACAGCCCTTCCCCCCACCGTGCCCCCCGCCCCTCTGTGGCGGGCAGGGAGAGAATGGGGCTCCCAGATGCGGCGCCCTGCCCTCACTCCCACAGCTCTCAATCTGGGGCATGGAAGGTGCCTGCCAGGGACCATTCTTCACCTAAGCCCAGAAAGGCCCCACACCTGGGACACCTCTGGGCCCACCTTCGGGGGTCCCCCCTGCGGTCCCCAAAGTCCCCATCGCACTTCTAAGCTGGGGCAGTAGGATGGGGGATGAGTAGGGCTCTCAAGGCTCAGCCCCACTCCGAGAGCTGCCGGGGCGCAGGGAGGGCGGCTCAGCCCGGCTCCTCCTCCTCCCGGTGCCCTCCGGTGATGAATGTCCCTCCTGATGGTCTCGTTAGTTACTGATGGCCTAATCCTGCTCGTTAATTTCCCAGCCCTCGTTAAAAATGAAAAGAAGCCGTTTGTGCTTGTACAAACCCCCAGAACCAGGATGGATGTGCGGGCGCCCGGGGGTGGGGGTGGGGGGTGGGGGCCGGGTCAGGCGGAGCCTCCTCGTTGGACAGGAGGCCCAGCTCGGCCACGCCCAGCCCTGTGCTGGGGGCCGTGGGTGGAGGGCACTGGGCGCTCAGAGCTGTGTGGGAGGGGGCCTCGATTCTCAGTCTGCGCGTGCGTGCGTGTGGTGTGAGTTTCCACGGAAGTGTGCCTATGTGGGCAAGTGGGTCATCTGCACGCGCCCTTGAGAGCGTTCACGAGCCTGTAATTGAGGGGCTGTGGGGGCAGGGCCAGTCCCCGTCCCCAGGGCCCTTGGGAGCCTCACCAGTTTGCGCTGACACCAGTGGCAGAGGCCGCAGAGGACGACAGTGACGCTAAGGCTGACGGTGATGATGGCAGAGACCAGCAGGACATCGCGGGTGGGCGCCCCTGGAGAGGACACACACAGGTCAGACCCTTACTGGCCAGAGCCAGCTACCCTCCCTCAGCCCAGAGCCCCCCGGAACAACCACCCTAACCACACTGGGAGCTCTGCGCCCCAAGTTCTACTCCCAGCTCTGCCTTGCTGGCTGACCTTGGGAAGTCTCTTCCTCTCTCTGCAGCTCACTTTCCTCATCTGTAAAATGGGAGTCTCTGGGCAGGTCTCTCCCAGTCCCTCACTGCACGAGCCCTGCGTGGGGTCCGCACCATCCCCCAAACTTCGCACCCTCGAAGGGAGAGGCCAAGTGTGCCCTTGGCCTAGCCAGGCCTCACCCACCGGACTTTCAAATGCCTCTAAAACAGCCACCGCTTCTGTGTGGCATGTTTCCATCCCCGCCCGCCCCCCGCCCCCCGACCACACACATACCCGGAGCCACAACTCCAGCCGAATTTGCCCAAAGCATTAGTTCCCGTAGTCCCTCTGTCGATATCTGCCCCACAGGTACTGACAGGCCCTCTTAAGTGTTGCCCAAGACTCAACAACTACATGTATAGTCATAGAGGGAATCTCTGGAATGCTCTGACCCGTCCTCATCCCCTTTAGCTCAGCTTTTTTTGGGCTGCAAGTCCACCCAGCGGGCCTCTGCCTCCCATGCCCTAGCCCCTGAGCTCACCTCCAGTCCTCCCACCCCATCGGCTCAGCACCCCCTTTGTTGGCTGGCAATGTCCTAAATGTTCCCCAGGGGCTGCCCCACAGCTTCCATTCTAACAGCTCAGGGGTCCTATGCTTTCGGAGTGGAAACCTTGATGGACTTGCCCTGGGAGCAAAACCCCGTGTTTCTGTGTAAATCCCACCACTTGCTAGCTGTGTGGCTTTAGTCACCTAACCACTCAGTTTTCTCCCCCCGTAAATGCGGATTAGATCTCTTCCCTCCCTCCTCACAGGTGGCTGTAAACACGAACCCAAAGCAAATGTAAGAAAGGCAAAACTTGACCAGAAATCGTCATGTGGGGGAGTGAGTCGACAGAGACCGGCACAGATCACATGTGCTCTGTAAATATGTGTACGGCGGGGATGCGTCTTAAAGTCAAGGAGACGCTGTTTATTTACAGAGGAGCCTGCTTAGGCTTTTCGGTTTCGGTGATGGTGGTAATTAAGAGTTGACAAGATCTGTCTGGTCCTGGTTCCTTAGGTTTTAGCTTCTGGCGTCCGGTGTCTCATGCTTTGCTGCGGGGCCTCATGAAGGAGGGCCAGGCGGTCATCCCCTGTTCTCAGGGCCCTCGGGCCACCTTCCACCACCACTCCAGTGCCCTGGGCAGCCAGTCTGCTGCCCGCTCTCCCCAGAATCCTGATTGGGCCCCACCCCTCCCTCCCCAACCTCCGGAGCCACCGAGCTGTGGGAAAAAGCCACCCTTGCTGGGCGCCTCCTGTCCACCTGCCAGGCCAGCTAAGCTTCCTCCCATCCCAGGTCCACAGCCTCGGTCCCCAGGAAGCCACTGCACCAGTTCACTGTCAAACCTCAGGGCCCACAGCACCAGGGAGCTCTGATCCGGACAGTCCACAGACACCGAGGAACTGGTCCTGCCTTTCCCTCCCTCAGGTGGCGGAGCGCAACTCTGCAAGGCTGGAGGGGCCACATCTGTCACAGTTCTCAGGCCAAATGGGAGGCCTCCATCTTTAACCTCCAGGCTTCTGGGGATGGGGGTGGTGCATAATACCACAGGGCACACCACCAGGGCCCCCAGACCCAGGCCTGTGGTAAAGAGGTGTGCGAACATACCTTCCAAGAATGGGGCTGGCGCTTTTTCTAGCTCTCTTCATGGAAGCTGCCCCTGCCCCATGGGGAGTGTCTGGGGGGCGGGGCGCTATCGATCCCTGGTCCGGGAAGATCCCACATGCCACGGAGCACCTAAGCCCGTGCGCCACAACTACTGAGCCTGCGCTCTAGAGCCCGAGAGCCACAACTACTGAAGCCTGCATGCCTAGAGCCTGTGCTCCTCAACAAGAGAAGCCACCGCAGTGAGAAGCCCGCGCACCACAACAAAGAGTAGCCCCCCACCCCCGATCCCCCGCTCGCCGCAGCTAGAGGAAGCCCCCACGCAGCAACAGAGACTCAATGCAGCCAAAAATAAATAAATAAAATATACAAAAATTTATAAAAAACAAACAAACCCTCCATTAAAAGAAATAAAGTGAAGATAATAATGGCACCCACCCCGTGGTAGTACTCAGTAGATACGGATTATTATTAAGGTTGTTGGGTTAGTCCCCACTCAGGTGTACAGAGAGCTCTGGAAACACAGATGAAGATAGTGGTTGCTAGACTAGGGAGCTATCTGGGAAGGCTTTCCTGAGGAGGCGGTATTTGGTGTGGTCTGGGAGACGGATGTGAGGTGAGGGTAGGACAATCTGGGCAGAGGGAACGGCGAGGGCAAAGGCATGAGAGGGCAAGAAGGATCAGGCGTGTCGTTTGAGGAGCTGGACTAGGTTATGGGGAGTGAAGTGGTGAACCAGGCTGGGAATGAGCGTAGGGCCCGATGGCGAAGGGCTGTGTCTTCCAGGCCGAGGGGCTTCCTGCGTCAGTAGGCCGTAGGAGCCACGGAAGCTTTTTGAGCAGGGGAGGGGCAGGATCAGAGGGGGAGTCAGCGAGCTCACGAGCTGGGAGCTGTGGCAGGAGGTCAGAGTCCAGGTGATTCCTCTGCCCTCGCGCCCTTTCTGCACGCACCCTCCCCCACGTATCTCTGGCCATGGGGCGGTTCTCCAAGGGATTACCTCCCTGGAGCCTCTTCCTCTCTTTGCCAAACAAGGTCCTTATCAAAAACTGCTCTTCAACCCCTGCTCTAGGCTGGAGAGCCCCTGAGGACAGAGGCTGTCAATCCCAAAAGCCAATGGTCCCCAGAGACCCAGGGAATGCCCATCTTAAGCAATTAGTGTTCTGTGGGCATGGAGAATTAGCACTAGGCTTGGAGTCGAGGAGAATGAGGCTGAGGCCTTATTCTGGCCACTAACCAGCTGTGTGGCCACGAGTAAGGCGCTCGACCTCTTGGAATCGGTGCCTTCATGTGTGGAGAGCTGATCCTTCCTCACTCTGATGAGAAGCAGGGGTTCTAGGTGTTCCACATGCAGCAACAAATTCGTCTTCACAACAATAACCAAGGTGAGCATTAAGATTGTCCCCATCTTACAGATGGGGAAACTGAGGTACGGAGGGGCCAAGTACTTTGCCCAAGGTCATTCAGCTAGTAGGTGGTGGAGCCAGGGTTCGAACCCAGGCAGTCTGACTCACAGTCTACATTCTTTGTCTTGACATCACACCCACTACAGAGGCGAGTGGTCAGTGGTTTTCCAGGTGTGTTCTTTGGAACACCTAGGGCTCCCAGGAATTTCTCAGGGGCCACAGAGATGGATGCTGAGCAGGTGGGGCTGTGTCCCCTCAAGCCCTGTTCAACGAAAGCAGCCCGGTTTCCCTGTTTCACATCTTGGGCTTCCACAGAAAGTTCCATTTGAGGAAAGGGATGTGTTACTAAGGAAAGTTGAACCCTCCTGGATCAGTGACCCTAGGAACCCCTGCAGCATGAATGGATGCTGGCATCTTCCAGGCAGCTGACCCCTCCCCAAAAGATTCCCAAAGATTCCCTGCCCCCCACCCCAAGCAACCCTTGGACAGCCCTTGAATCCACGGTAAAGCAAATGATTGCCAGTGCAAATTGCATCGATGCTGTGAACAAAAATGACACAATGTCCTCGGCCTGCACGCAATATTGCCATCAAGGGAGGCAAGCCTGTTCTTGCCTGCCAGCCAGGGTGAAACCATTCCCAGAACACGGAGTCACTGTGTCTCGGGCTGCAAGGGACCTTGGAAGTCAGGCCTCATCAATGAACGAATGCCCTGGGCAGCCCTGTCAGGGGCAGGAAGCTGCTTATGCGGGATGCAGACCCTCCACAAATGGGCGTTGGTAGCTAGGGCTGCTGTGTCTTGAGCTGAGCTCAATCTGTCTCCCTGGAACTTCCCCCCAAGGTCCTAAGCTTGTCCTCTGGAGCTGCCGGGGACAAGCCGGCTCCCGCTGCCACATGACAGGCCTCCAAATCCTTGCTGACAGCTCTCATGTCCCCTTCCAGTCTTCTCCAGGCAAAGCTGCCCCAGCCCTTCTAACCCTTCCTCCGATGACATACATGGTTTCAAGTCCCCTTAGCGTCAGCATATTAACATTTGGGGAAAGAAAATATTGCAGCCCTAGTCAGCCTTTTGACAGAGCTGAGTTCCACGACCTATCCTTGGGCAGAGGAGACATCTGGGTCCCAGGGATGAGACACAGACAAGGGCAGACGGATGACATCGGGAGACTTGGGAGGCTGGGTGAGCCAGGAACAAGGAGAGCTAGGCCTCTGGGGTCCAGTCCCAAGGGTGCCAGGACGTGAGATGTAAACTCAGGCATGTCCCTGACCCTCTGCCCAGGCCTTTGGCGGCCATGTCAACCGATTAGAGCCCAGGATTAATGACAATCCAGTAGAGTCCTGTGGGCTTTGCCAGGTGCTGTGGGCATAGCCCATGGTTCTGACCATGCCACCCCACCGGGAGCTCTCAGCGTAAATAAAACCTGTGTGCTTGAGGAGGTGGCCCCCTTTTGAAGGTGGACAAGATGCCCACACACAGTCTTCCCTTCTAGAACATCAACTCCATGAGGGCAGGGCTCAATCTCATGTTCACTGCTGTCTTCCCAGCACCAAGGACAGAGCCAGGCATATAGTAGGTGCTCAATAAATGCTTGTTGAATGAATGAGTGAGGAGGAATCCCAAGCCTCTAGGAATGATAGTAATAGAGGCTACCATTTATTAAGTGCCTACTGTGTACCAGACTATGAAGGTAGGGGCTGTATCTGCTTTGTTCATTCTGATAACCTCTGTGACAGGCAAACCCACAGGAGGTGCTCAGTAAATATTTGTTGAATGCCCAGTGCTTGCATACGTTATCTCACTTGTCACCCAAACAAGATGGGATAGAAGAGA